TCTTTTTCATTTGCATAAATACCTATTATAAAGTTTAATTGACAAATTAAGCACAATAAGTGGAGAATTATCTCTCTTTCACTGATGGGAAGCACTTCAAGGCTTCTCTTAGGTTTTGAAGAACTTTCTCCATCACTACATTTGCACTCTGAGGCATTATTAAGCAAAATTAAGGGTAATTTTTGGGCCATGGTAAACCGTGGATAACTGAAACTGTCGATACCGGACCCATGGATATTGGGGTTCTACTGTACTGTTATTATCACCTTCAAAAACAAATTAAACTAGTATTGGTCATATAGAAGTCCTAATTAATGTAACTTCACCCTTGAAGAACTGTTAATGGAAGAAATTGGAGCTACCTTCACTTCTCGTGGATCTAACCTTATTACATTCCATTTCCCAAGTACTGTATGACCCAAATGGGTTCAGCATTTCACAATGAATATACAACAGAGAATCCTTGCTTAACTACCTAGAGTGTCACCCAAGGAATGCTTCACTAAGTAAAAAATACATTAAGTGAATAGCCTTTTTTCATGGAAGCCCATGTTATAACTCTAGATGAGGACCAGGATAATATTTCATATCAAATTCCTATTAACTTTTTCAACAACGAAATTAAAAAAATATGTAATCACCCGAGTTCGGTCCACTGTTTAACAGAGGCATAGTAATATTACACACCTGCTTTACAAGTACATAACATAAAAAGTATGAAATATTAGACAAGAGAGAGTACATAATATACTAAACAGCACATAATTTACTAAACAGTACATAATATACTATATAGTATATATACTACACAATACATAATATACTATACTCTCTCTCTTCACCAGAGACGAGTTCATTGTTTAGTAGGAGCATACTGGTGTTATATTTTTTTTCATTTTTTAATGTATTGGCCATATCCCATCAAGGCAGGGTGACCTAAAAAGAAAACTAAAGTTTTTCTATTCATGTTTAGTAACGTACACTGTTACTTGCTCCTTGCTCTTGGCACTTTAGTCGCTTCTTACGACATGCATGGCTTATGGAGGAAGGATTCATAGTGGTGTTATATCCCCATTTTATAAAGGGATAGCAAAATTACTATGACAATATCAAAATATTGAGAGAAGTATCACAACGTGTATTTGAATGGTGCCCCGTGGCCTGGTGGCTAAAACTCTCGCTTCACACGGTGAGGATCCAGGTTCGATTCCTGGCAAGGGTAGAAACATTGGGAGTATTTCTTTACATCGGTTGTCTATGTTCACCATCAGTAAAATGGGTACCTGGGTGTTAGTAAACTGGTGTGGGTCGCATCCTGGGACAAAACAAGCTAGGCCTGCATACCTTATACATGTACTTGTAAAATAAAGATATTATTATTATTAATGGCCTAAGTCATCATAAGAATTTACACATACGTTACAAGGTGGAAGAAATCACAATAAAATGTGTGATTGCAAATACGAAAAAATACCACAGTGAAAATAGAAATAAAACCCAAGCGCTTTCACATGCTGACACACACACAAACCACAGTACGGGTGGTGCTTGAACTCGCAGCACGTGAGTTGTAAAACTCCAGGCCAGCACATAAGCCATTGCCGTGAGTTCTATCCCCAACCGTACCGTGATTTGTTTGCAATCGTGTCATTACGATTTCATAAGTTACACACATTCCTCTTAAGATGTGCGTGTGAGCACATGAAAGCGCTCAGGTTTCATTTCCTATTATCACTGTGGCATTTTTTTCATGTTACTAGGTATGATAACTGTACCTGTGTGTGCCTGTACCTCAGAAAAATGGGGGGTATAACACCATTACCCTTTGCTTAAAGAAACAACCCATCTACCTCTGGTGGAGGGAGGGTAGGGAAGAATAATGGAAAGTACAGAATGACAAGACATTGCTCCTCTAACAGATATGATCAGACCTGGTTTCTCTGGGCATGATACGTAATTTGTATAGAGTACAGTACAGTGGACCCCAGGTATACGATATTAATCCGTTCCTGAGAGCTCATCGTATGCCAAAATTATCAGAAGGCGAATTAATTTTCCCCATAAGAAATCATGGAAATCAAAATTAATCTGTGCAAGACACCCAAAAGTACTATGAAAAAAAAAGTTTTATCACATGAAATATTAAGTTTAATGCACACAAACTGAAGAAGACATGCACAGTTAGTAGTACTCTACTAACAATAGAATACATGACACTTACCTTTAATGAAGATCTGGTGATGATTGATGGGATGGGAGGAGGGGAGAGTGTCGAAGCTGTTAATGTTTAGAAGGGGAATCCCCTTCCATTAGGACTTGAGGTAGCAAGTCCTTTTCTGGGGTTACTTACCTTCTTCTTTTAATGCCACTAGGACCAGCTTGAGTCACTGGACCTCTGTCGCACAACAAATCTGTCCACAGAGGTCTGTACCTCCCGTTCCTTTAAGATTTGTCTAAATTGGGCCACAACATTGTCATTGTAATAGTCACCAGCATGACTTGCAATAGCTGTGTTAGGGTGATTTCCATCCATAAAGGTTTGCAGTTCAACCCACTTTGCACACATTTCCTTAATTTTTGAAGTAGGCACAATGGATTCCACAACTGGCATAGGCTTCTCAGGGTTAGCCCGAAACCCTTCAAAATCTTTCGTAATTTCTATACTAATTCTCACCCTTTTTACCACAGGGTTGGCACTAGAAGCTTTCTTGGGGCCCATGGTGACTTATTTTGCAGAAACAAGCACCAAAAACATTGTGATAATATGGAATGTACCGAATGTATGCACTGCTATATACTACTCAGACCAACTAGAATGTATCACTAATACTTGCACAAGGGATGAACATGGGGAATATCTTCTTTCTTTCAACACACCAGCCGTATCCCACCGAGGTGGGGTGGCCCAAAAGGAAAAACAAAAGTTTCTCCTTTCATATTTAGTAATATATACAGGAGAAGGGGTTACTAGCCCCTTGCTCCCGGCATTTTAGTCGCCTCTTACAACACGCATAGCTTACGGAGGAAGAATTCTGTTCCACTTCCCCATGGAGATAAGAGGAAATAAACAAGAACAAGAGCTAGTAAGAAAATAGAAGAAAACCCAGAGGGGTGTGTATACATATGCCTGTACATGTATGTGTAGTGTGACCTAAGTGTAAGCAGAAGTAGCAAGACGTACCTGAAACCTTGCATGTTTATGAGACAGAAAAAACACCAGCAATCCTACCATCGTGTAAAACAATTACAGGCTTACGTTTTACACTCACTTGGCAGGACGGTAGTACCTCCCTGGGCGGTTGCTGTCTACCAACCTACTACCTAGGATGGGGAATATATAATAGCTAAATTCAAATCCAAATACCTACAAAAACCTCTCACAGTGATAAACATCTACAGAGTTCCACAATCAAACATTAGCCAATTTAGTCAAAACTTAGGAAGTATGATAACTGATGCACGCATGAACAAAGATCACTTACTACTCTCAGGTGACTTCAATATAAATCTCCTGCAAGACCAGGACCCACACGTTACTGAATTCACAAACACAATGAGTAACTGCATGTTGCTACCAACAGTAACAAAACCTACAAGAGTTACAGAGACTAGTGTTTCCCTACTTGACCACATCTGGACCAACACCATATCCCCTTTAAAATCAGGCATAATTACAGATAATACCACAGACCACTACCCTACTTTCCTCATAACAACTCTTGGTAAAATACCCCAAGACACTACTAAAGTCACCTTCAGACTTCACAATGAGGCAGCCATTAATAACTTCACAACAGCAGTAACAAACATTGACAGGCACACTGAGCGAGCTAGAAATCTATACAGATATTGACGAATGTTTTAATAATTTTCAAAAAAGACCCAATACCTTTATAACAAGCCTGCCTAAAAAAACTAAACAGATGACAGTTTAAGAGATGAACAGCCCCTGGCTAACACCCAGCATTCTCAAATCCATAAATAAAAAAAACACCGAATATGAAAAACAGTACAGAATGGGTCACATAACCAGAGACCAAACAAAACGTTACTCGTCAATCCAAACCAGCCTGATAAGAAGGGCAAAAAAAATTGTATTATGAGAACAGATTATCCAACTTACGAGTGATATAAAAAAGACCTGGAAGACTCTATCAGAAATTCTATGAACAAAAAGATATCACGACATAGCGAAATAAAATTAGCAAAATCAGATGAACCCCAACTCCCACCAACAGAACAGCAAACAGACTCAATGATTTCTTCTCCACTATAGGTCAAAACCCCTTGCCAAAAAAATCCCAAGCTCAGGATCCCCCAAATGACTACCTCACTGGCAACTACCCGAACACACTGTTCCTAGCTCCGACTAACCCATACGAAGTCTCCCTTATTATCAACGCACTGAAAAACAAGGTAGGATTTAAATACCTTACCACCCTTTATATTACAAAAAAGCGTCACAAGTACTATCACCATCATTGCAAACACTCTTTAACAAAACCATTGAATCCTCCACTTCCTACAGTTCCAAAATAGCAAGGGTCACCCCGATCCATAAAGGAGGAGACCAAACGAGTTGAATAACTATAGGCCCAATATCCAATTTACACCCTCTCTCAAAAATCGAAAATTAATTCTAAAAGAATTACTCCTACCTCATCTCCCAAAACATTCTCAACCCCCGCCAATTTGGATTCAGGCCTAATAAAAATACTAATGAGCTATTATACACATGCTAGACATATATACACTGCAATAGAGAAAAAAGAAGTCCCACTGGGGTTTTCCCTTGGACTTACGTAAAGCTTTTTGATTTCAGTTGACCCTGACTTGCTCCACGTAAAATTGTCACACTATGGTATTAGAGGGCCCTCCCTCAACTATCTCAAGTCTTACCTCAGCAAAAGAAGCCAAAATGTGTACGCAAATGGGCAAGCTCTTCCGCACAACCAATTACAGTTGGTGTCCCACAGGGAAGTGTCCTTGGCCCTCTTCTCTTTCTCCTATACATAAATGACCTACCAAATGCTTCGCAATTACTCAAACCCACACTTTTTGCAGATGACACTACATACGTCTTCTCTCACCCAAGCCCAGTCACGCTAGCCAATACTGTAAACACCGAATTACAGAAAATATCTACCTGGATGAGGACTAACAAACTTACACTAAACATTGACAAAACCTACTTCATTCAGTTTGGTAACAGAGCTACAGATGTCCCTCTTAACATAACGATAAATGGATCACCTATCACAAAGCTAACAGAGGGAAAATTCTTAGGAATCCACCTCGATAATAGACTCAAATTTCATACACATATACAACAAATTTCTAAGAAAATTTCCAAGACTGTAGGCATACTATCGAAGATACGGTACTATGTTCCACAGTCAGCCCTCCTGGCCCTTTATCACTCTCTTATTTACCCCTATCTCACCTATGGAATTTGTGCATGGGGCTCAACAACAATTAACCATCTCAGACCACTAATTACCCAACAAAAGGCTGCAGTTAGAATGATAACAAATTCTCACTACAGGCAACACACTCCACCAATATTCAAAACACTCAACCTACTCACCATACAAAACATCCATACTTATTATTGCACCTATTACATACATAGAACACTTAACTCTGATATTAACCCTCCCCTCAAACATCTCCTTGCCAACCTCAACAGAACACATGACCATAACACAAGGCACAGATCACTCTTTGATGTTCCTCGTGTCCATCTCACGCTATGCAAAAACTCAATGCACATAAAAGGCCCTAAAATCTGGAATTCATTACCTGTAAATATAAAAGAAACACTACCTGTTTATAAATTCAAGTCTCTTCTCAAAGTTCACTTACTCACTCAAAACCAAATATAAATACTGAATAACTGAACCTTATAAATTGTATATCCAAAATGTTACTCACAATTATATCACATAAATGTTAAACCTAGGACCCAATCTAACTTTGTTATTTTTTTAAATACACTACCTAACAGAATACTCCATTCTACTGAATGAACAGCAATGCATGCAACCATATGACCAGTCTTTGTAATACTCATTTGTGCTTTATAGTTATCTGTTTACAATAATGTCTTATCACTGATTACATCATTGCTTAGTTAATCTTAAGTTAATTTTAAGCCAGCCCATAATGCTATGCATATAAGTGGCTTTGGCATGCTGCTCTTACCTGTATTTTTTTTTTGTACCTCTGTATGTATGCTAAAATTTCTAAATAAATAAATAAATAAAAAAGATGCAAGCACACTGGCTGGCTTGTAAACACTGGCACGCACGGGAAAGTTCAGGCCACACATGGACACGTCACAGACAAATCCTGTGTGGCGGGTTTTTTAACAAGTGGCGAGGCAAAATTTTTGCATTAAAATGTATCGTATACCGGATTTAACGTGTACCGATGCCATCGTATGCCGGGGGTCCACTGTACATAAAAATTAATCCTGTTTTCCACATATTTTAACTGATGATTCAGAGGATAGGAAAACATGGTTGCCTACTGATGCAAAAGCAGATTTAATCTTATCTGTCAAGACTTGTCAGCAAAAATAGCATCAAAGACACTATTTTTTCCCAAAATAACTTGAAAATTTACCCAGCATCTTGGAGGCCGATGGTTACATCGCTCATAGACCTTACCCTAAGCCTAGACAAGTGTTATGATGCTAGACAGTAATCTAGTTGCATACAACCCAATAATGAATCAAGTAGGCTACGGTACACAGTAGTTGTAAACATTTCCTGTTATGGTGTTTGGCTCTGGCAGCACAAATGTACTTATTAAATAGTAAAAATCAATAAACTTAAAAATATGAAATATTTTTAAAATGCATGAAAAAACAATCACAAAGCAATATGCAATCCTACCCAGCCACTGACATGCCCACTTGTACGCATCGAGACAGCGAGTAGAAAAAGAACATGGCCAGAAGTTCTGCAGCCTTATTTTTATACTTATTTTCATTTTTTTTTTTTCAAAAATTTAGCCAGTCAGAATTGGGGGGATGTCCTCGACACCGGAGAATCTTTCTGGCCATATCACACTGAAGCAGGGTGACTCAAAAAGAAAAACAAAAAGTTTCTCTTTTTAAATTTAGTAATATATACAGGAGAAGGGGTTACTAGCCCCTTGCTCCTAGCATTTCAGTTGCCTGTTATGACACGCGTGGCTTACAGAGGAAGAATTCTGTTCCACATCCCCATGGAGACCAGAGAATCTTGCTTGCCGTAAAATACCATACACAAATAACCCACACATAGAAGAGAGGAGCTTAAGATGACGTTTTGGTCCGACTTGCACCATTTACAGAGTCACACTTATATTATCTGGTCATTGCACAAAGAAGAGGTCTTCAATCAGGCAGGTGACAGACTGTAACCTTGAATTTATCATTAGACGAGCAGGAGCCAATCGTTAAGCGAGGAATTACTACATTAGTATAGTGGTCCCTCGCTTTTCGTAGTTCTCGGCAATCGTAAATTTCGCCAATCATAGGGGTATTTTCATATAAACATGGACTCACTTTTCATAGGTTGACTCGCGAATAGTAGTTCGTCCGGGACGCATACGCAGTGTGAGCCGGCGCGGCCTCCCTACCCAGCCAGTCTGGCATTGTTTACCAGTGAGTGAAGGTCCCCTCAAGTGCTCCTATGAAATATTTCATAATATTCCACTCATTTTAGTGCTTGCAAGTACTAAATAAGCTACCATGGCTCCAAAGAAAGCTAGTGCCAAGCCTGTGGTAAAGAAGGTGAGAAGTATGTACAGTGACAAAGTCTTGGGCCATTTTAGGGAAGTGTTAAAGAGACGCCAGAAATAGAGCTCTCTCCAAAGTTACTTTGCGAGGCAGGACTAGAGTGACTCTAAAGGTGGTCCTAGTGGCATTAAGAAACAGAGAAGAGAAGCAACCCCAGAGAAGCAATTGGTACCTGAGGTGTTGCTGGAAGGGGATTCCCCTTCCAAACTATAAACAATCCACTCTCTCTCCTCCTCCAGTCTCCCATACACTAAGAAGAATCTCCAATAAAGGTAGGTGTTATGCTGTTAATGTTTCATTCATCATTTCCCATTGTATTGTTTATGTACTACATGTATATTTCATGTAAAAAAAAATTTTTGTTTTAATACTTCTGGGTGTCAGGAACGGATTAAGTGTATTTACATTATTTCTTATGGGGAAAATTGATTCGCAAATCGTAAATTTCGTTTACAGTAGCTCCCCCAGGAATGGATTAATTACAAAAAACGAGGGACCACTGTATCTACAAAGCCTTACTATATACGTAGCTTGGGGCACAAGAAAATCAAAATATGTCTTCAAAACTTAAAAATATTTTTATCTGGAATGCTGGCATCTTTGGCAGCGTTCACCATATCTTTATTGAATGACTTTGTTCCACAAATAAGCACTAAAGTTGAATCAACAGAGCCTTTTGATAGATCCTGAAGAATATCATCCTTCAACAGTCTCCTGGCTACTACCTCCTCATTGTATCTCTTTTTGCTCACATCAGTCTCTTCACTTAAATAGTGACACATTGTAAAATTCCAATATCGGCAGTAACTGCACAATTCCTCCCTTAACAAAATATTGGAAAAAGTCTTGGAAGCATAATTTAGCTTAATAAAAGTCTCCTCCTCTTCATTTTCAACGACAGTTTTTATTATCTGATACACCGGAGCAATGCCAGTGCCAGCTGCCAGAATAAGGATTCTTCTGTAACTATTTTCCTTGTAAGAAAAATGGCCAAATGGCCCTCTCCATGGAATCATGTCATTAACATTCCAATTTTTAATAATTTGAGTAATTTTGCCCTTAGGGTAAATTTTTATGAGAACTTCGAAGGATCCTACTCGGTTTATATCAGAGACAGGTGTATACTGCCTAGTAACTGAACGGCCATTTCTCACTTGCTTCACAATTAAATGTTGACCTAAATTCAAGCCCAAACATTGGTTATCTTCTAGTTTGAAAGTGTAGAGATAAGTGTTATTACTCACTTTATTCACTGCAATAATCTCAAACTCGTTCCATTTGTCTGGCTCAACAGCACCCGGGAAATGTCGTATCCCTTCACTGGATCCATTACGAATAAGCTCACACTGCTTCTTCCATGCTTTCAAATCATGCTCATATATATCGTGAACACAAGGACAGCAGCCAGTGCCGCAGCAGTCACTGGGTTTAGGTGCCTGAGGTTTTGGTGGCAATATATCTTCGATATCAGGAATTTCTTTGCTTGTCATAGTACACAAATTTTTAAACTCGATATGCAAAATTATCCATCCATGCTGGACGTTAATTATCAGCTTTGAATACACACTCAGAGCCAAATCAAAATCTTTCAAAATTTTTCCATATTTTATTAACCATATTCAACTGTTGTATTATTTAAGAACAAACCCATTTTAGTGCAGTACATCTATACTATATGAAAATGATATACAAAATAAACCACATGATATTCCCACCTTAACAACTATGTAGGAGGCATGCCTCTTACTGTATTGATATAAAAATTGTAAATATAATCTATAAATCCCAACAATATATGGAAGCCCACAAAATAGCTATAACCATGGTATTCAACAAGCATAGCACAGTATTACAAATATTACATCATCCCAGAAACATTCCCAGTACACAAATAACTCGCAGATAGGAGAGAGGCTTATGACAACCTTTAGGTCTCTTTTGGCTCACTTACAAGTCACACCAACTATGTGCAGGTTATTCGTGTATTGTTCCAGTCACCACATTGTGCCTTATTGTTTTTTGTTCCCAGTATACTCATAACAATAAAAGCACAATCCAGGGCTTTAGTCAAGTTCCCGATGCAGTGTCCAAATGCACATCTGGCCAATATTAGACGATGTAACAAGTCGCCATCCTCTTTTCTCGAGCAAGTTTAGCACCTTGCGCGGCACCAGTTTCGTACAGTAACTGAAACTATACACAAAATCTATGTAGCATTACTTGTGCTGTTATACTGAAATCTTCTATTATACCTACAACATAATGTTGTACTTACTTTTTCAAAAAAATTAAATTACTCTACTTGATAAGCCACAGAAAGACTATGAGGTTATCTGGTTTCAAGGAAAAATTAATATTACTACATGCACACTTGTACAGAAAAAAATATACATGTACACCTACCATCCGACTTACGACCAAGCTTCGTTCCGACCAACTGGTCGTAAGTCAAAATGGACGTAAGTCGAACCTTACTACTGAATATCAACATCACATTTTTGTAATGACTTGATTTTATTGTTTTATTCTGGTATTTCATTTTTTACATTACTTTTTATGCTGTTAGTACTGTGTTTTATACTGTAAGGCTTAGGATAAACACTGTGTACATCACAAACAGTTGTTTATTTCCCAGAAATTTGGCATACAAAACACGGTCGTAAGTTGAGTGGTCATATGTCGAGCAGGTCATAAGTCGGATGGTAGGTGTATATAGTTGTTTAACATATTTATAGATGGGGTTGTAAAAGAAATATGTAAATGCTAAGGTGTTGGGAATAGTGGTGGGATTAAATTATGGAGAATCAAATACAAGATGGGAGTTGCAATTACTTTTTGCTGATGATACTGTGCTTATGGGAGATTCTAAAGAGAAGTTTCGAACGTTAGTGGACAAGTTTGGGAGTGTGTGTAAAGGAAGAAAGTTGAAAGTGAACATAGATAAGAGTAACGTGATGAGGGTATCAAACAATTTAGATAAAGAAAACTTGGAGGGAGGGAGGGAGCATGGAAGAAGTGAATGTGTTCAGATATTTGGGAGTAGATTTTTCAGCAGATGGGTTTATGAAGGACAACGTTAACCATAGAATTGATAAAGGAAAAAGGCGAGTGGTGCATCGATAATAATAATAATAATAGTATTTTGATTTACTGCAAGTCCATGTACATGGTATACAGGCCTAGCTGACATCAATGTCATATGTACTACCATACAGAAAGCTGCTTGTTATGCAGAGCATTTCGGGCAAATTAAGTCAGTTTCGTCTCAGGATGCAACCCACACCAGTCAACTACCATCCAGGTACCCATTTTAAACTGATGGGTGAGCAGGGACAGCAGGTGTCTTATGGAAACACGTCCCTAATGTTTCTCAGCTGTATCGGAGAAGATTCAAACTCCAGACCCCAGTGTGTGAGCTGAGTGCACTAGAGATCGAGCTACGGGACAAAACATGTTATCTATGGAGGCAAAGAAGGGAATGTACGAGAGTATAGTGGTACCAACACTCTTATATGGGTGTCAAGCATGGGTTGTGAATGCTGCAACAAGAAGGATGGAAGCAGTGGAGATGTTGTGTCTAAGGGCAATGTGTAGTGTAAATATTATACAGAGAATTCGTAGTATGAGGAGTGGAGTTACTTAAAGTATTATTCAGAGGGCTAAAGAGGGGTTGTTTAGGTGGTTAGGTCATTTAGAGAGGATGAAGCAAAAGAGGTTGACTTGGAGGATGCATAACTGTAATGGAGGGGAGGAGGGGTAGGGGTTATCCTAGGAAAGGATGGAGGGAGGGGGTGAAAGAGGTTTTGTGTACAAGAGGCCCAGACATGCTGCATGTATAAGCGTGTTAGATAGGAGTGAATGGAGATGAATGGTTTTTGGGACCTGATGAGCTGTTGGAGTGTGAGTAGGTTAATATTTTGTGAAGGGATTCAGGGAAACCGATTAGTCGGACTTGAGTCCTGGAGGTGGGAAGTACAATGCCTGCACTTTAAAGGAAGGGTTTGGGATATTAACTGTTTGGAGTGACATCTAAAATGTTGTATCTGAGAGCCTCAGGAAAGACAGTGATTATGTGTGAATGATGGTCAAAGTGTTTCTTTCTTGGGTCATCCTGCCTTGGTGGGAGACTGCCTATGTGTTAAAAACAAAAAATATATATATATATATATATATATATATTATATATATATATATATATATATATATATATATATATATATATATATATATATATATATATATATATATATATACACATACATGCATACATACATACATACTGGCAGGCCCCGCTTTACAGTTTCGCTAACGCAGCAGTTTTCAATAATACCCATTCTTCATTTATTCAGACTTCCTACAATAAGTATATTCGCCACTCACTATAAGCTAAGGATGAAAATATTTTAAGGTAAGTAATGTGTGGAACAAGGTGCTAGTTACCCCTTCTCCTGTATATATTACTCAATTTTAAATAAAAGAGAAACTTTTGTTTTTCTTTTTAGGTCACCCTGCCTTGGTGGGATATAGCCAATTTGTTGAAAAAAAAAAATATGTGTATTGTATATGCATTTTTCAGGCTTAGCTTTATTGTTCATTTAATATTTGATAGTGTAAACATGTTATCAGACTTTTATATGTATTTGAAACTGAAAAAGACTAAAGTGGGGCCCTCCTGTACTATGCTGGCAAACTTCAAAATAGCGTTAAAAAAAATGGGAAATTTTAAGAAAAGTTCTGCAGTGCTATGCTGTCATTCCTAAATTACAGGAAGTGATTATGTCTGAAATACAAGATACAGTACATTAAACCCTCGATTTAACAAAGCTCGGAAACACTGGACAAAATCCGCTGAGTCAACTCTTTGGTAACAAGGAAAAAAACCTATTGATTATAGAAAGGTTATCATTATGATTGAGGCAAAATCATCTCGTCTTCCACCACAACTGCCAGCCCTAGCCATCCACTTTCCCCCGTTTGCCCATCAAATCGAAGGTCTCCCGTTTGGGTATTGAACATTACACGACCATAAAATTTTACTTACCTCTTAGATGTCGGTTCTTTTACTTCTTCGGCTCCTAGATAGCTCATCAAGTCTGGATCACTATCGCTGTCTCCCACATAAGTTGGACCAGCTTCCTGCAAATACACGACGAATGAACGATGTGTTCCAAGTAATGCCAGAGGAAAATAGAAATACTGTGCAGAAGAGAGGCAAATGTTATTAGTAAAGTTAGGATAAGATAAGACTGATAACATTTTATTCGGATTTTTAACCTGGAGGGTTAGCCACCCAGGATAACCCAGTACAGTCAGTGCATCATCAGGGGACTGTCCATCTTGTTTCCAGTGATGTCACAGCCTGGCGATGTCACAGTCTGCTAATATCACAGCCTGGTGATGTCACAGTCTGTTAATATCACAGCCTGGTGATGTCAGTCTGCTAATATCACAGCCTGGTGATGTCACAGTCTGCTAATATCACAGCCTGGTGATGTCACAGTCTGTTAATATCACAGCCTGGTGATGTCAGTCTGCTAATATCACAGCCTGGTGATGTCACAGTCTGCTAATATCACAGCCTGGTGATGTCACAGTCCGTTAATATCACAGCCTGGTGATGTCACAGCCTAGTAATATCAGCCTGGTTATATTATAGCCTATACTAGTAGTAACACTAGTAACTAGAAGTACTAGTAGTAACACTAGTAACTAGAAGTACTAGTAGTAACACTAGTAACTAGAAGTACTAGTAGTAACACTAGTAACTAGAAGTACTAGTAGTAACACTAGTAACTAGAAGTACTAGTAGTAACACTAGTAACTAGAAGTACTAGTAGTAACACTAGTAACTAGAAGTACTAGTAGTAACACTAGTAACTAGAAGTACTAGTAGTAACACTAGTAAAATAGAAGTACTAGTAGTAACACTAGTAACTAGAAGTACTAGTAGTAACACTAGTAACTAGAAGTACTAGTAGTAACACTAGTAACTAGAAGTACCAGTAGTAACACTAGCAACTAGAAGTACCTACCAGTAGTAACACTAGCAACTAGAAGTACCAGTAGTAACACTAGTAACTAGAAGTACCAGTAGTAACTAGTAACTAGAAGTACCAGTAGTAACACTAGTAACTAGAAGTACCAGTAGTAACACTAGTAACTAGAAGTACTAGTAGTAACACTAGTAACTAGAAGTACTAGTAGTAACACTAGTAACTAGAAGTACTAGTAGTAACACTAGTAACTAGAAGTACTAGTAGTAACACTAGTAACTAGAAGTACTAGTAGTAACACTAGTAACTAGAAGTACTAGTAGTAACACTAGTAACTAGAAGTACTAGTAGTAACACTAGTAACTAGAAGTACTAGTAGTAACTAGCACTAGTAACCAGTAATACTCACCAGTCTAAGCTGTGTTGAGATCAACAAATATGGCATGGTGAAGTGGCTGTTGCTGACGGCTGTCTTCCTGCACCACGGCTGTCTTCCTGCACCACGGCTGTCTTCCTGCACCACGGCTGTCTTCCTGCACCACGGCCCGTCTTCCTGCGCCACGGCTGTCTTCCTGCACCACGGCTGTCTTCCTGCACCACGGCTGTCTTCCTGCACCACGGCTGTCTTTCCCCGGCCCACGGCTGTCTTCCTGCACCACGGCTGTCTTCCTGCACCACGGCTGTCTTCCTGCACCACGGCTGTCTTCCTGCACCACGGCTGTCTTCCTGCACCACGGCTGTCTTCCTGCACCACGGCTGTCTTCCTGCACCACGGCTGTCTTCCTGCACCACGGCTGTCTTCCTGAACCACGGCTGTCTTCCTGCACCACGGCTGTCTTCCTGCACCACGGCTGTCTTCCTGAACCACGGCTGTCTTCCTGCACCACGGCTGTCTTCCTGAACCACGGCTGTCTTCCTGCACCACGGCTGTCTTCCTGCACCACGGCTGTCTTCCTGCACCACGGCTGTCTTCCTGCACCACGGCTGTCACCCTGTATCACGGCTGTTACCCTGTATCACGGCTGTCACCCTGTATCACAGCTGTCACCCTGTACCACGGCTGTCACCCTGTACCACGGCTGTCACCCTGTACCACGGCTGTCACCCTGTATCACGGTTGTCTCCCTGCACCACGGCTGTCACCCTGTACCACGGCTGTCACCCTGTACCACGGCTGTCACCCTGTATCACGGTTGTCTCCCTGCACCACGGCTGTCACCCTGTATCACGGCTGTCACCCTGCACCACGGCTGTCACCCTGTACCACGGCTGTCACCCTGTACCACAGCTGTCACCCTGTATCACGGCTGTCACCCTGTACCACAGCTGTCACCCTGTATCACGGCTGTCACTCTGCACCACAGCTGTCACCCTGTATCGCGGCTGTCACTGCACCACGGCTGTCACCCTGTACCACAGATGTCACCCTGTACCACGGCTTTTACCACGGCTGTCACCCTGCACCACAACTGTCACCACCTATCCTGGGGTGTCAGAGTCCTTCTCTAGGTGTTGTTGAGACCTTCCAACACAAGCAGAGTCTAGTAATGGTGAATCGGCTGTGAAAACCACCATTAACTGGACGTCTCCCCCAGGCAGTTCACGGCTGGGGAAAACCACATCAAGACCCCGTCTTATAACCCACCTGGAAGCCACTTACCTGGGTTATCCTGGACTGGTTTCCACTCTAGGGCATGTATCCTCGATGGGTTATCAATTTCCGGGGTGATTGATGGCACAACAAAAGCGAAATTGATGAAAATGTTGGAAATGTCTTCATTTCAGAGGTCTGGGTGGGGAAGCTCCCAGTGTTACCATCTCCCAGTAGAACCGTCATCTCTTATATATGCATATTTCGCGAAAATGTGGTCATGTTAATGACTTTTTATATATTATTGTTATATGTAAGTTCATTTCTGAGTGTTGTGTGTCAGTAGTTTCACAAAAATGACATTTTCTGGAAAATTTTAGTATGTTGTTGGAGATTGATGGTGTTGTCACTGTGATCCTCTGCAAAAATTCCCTTAATTAAATCGTATTTCGTTGAAAATACGTCTTTATAAATAGTTTTCTTTGTTCCAATTTGTGAAATTGATGACGTAGTACATCCTGACATGTACGCTCCATTGAAATATATAGTTAATTTGATTTGACAGCTTCATTGAGTGGTCTAATTTTTCGAAATTGAGAGGGTCTATGATAATAAATTTTTATTTACTACCAGTACATGTACAAGGTATACAGACCATAGTTGACATCAGTAACATACTACTATATATAAAGCCCTTTGTTATGCTGAACATTTCCCGCAAATTAGGTCAGTTTTGTCCCAGGATGCGACCCACACCAGTCCACTAACACCCAGGATGTGACCCACACCAGTCCACTAACACCCAGGATGCGACCCACACCAGTCCACTAACACCCAGGATGTGACCCACACCAGTCCACTAACACCCAGGATGTGACCCACACCAGTCCACTAACACCCAGGATGTGACCCACACCAGTCCACTAACACCCAGTATGTGACCCACACCAGTCCACTAACACCCAGGATGCGACCCACACCAGTCCACTAACACCCAGGATGCGACCCACACCAGTCCACTAACACCCAGGATGTGACCCACACCAGTCCACTAACACCCAGGATGTGACCCACACCAGTCCACTAATACCCAGGATGTGACCCACACCAGTCCACTAACACCCAGGATGTGACCCACACCAGTCCACTAATACCCAGGATGTGACCCACACCAGTCCACTAACACCCAGGATGTGACCCACACCAGTCCACTAACACCCAGGATGCGACCCACACCAGTCCACTAACACCCAGGTACCTATTTTACTGATGGGTGAACAGGGACAACCAGTGTATGGAAACACTTCCAATGTTTCTACCCTGACTGGAAATCGAACCCAGACCCACGCCGTGTGAAGCGAAAGCTTTAGCCACCAGGCCAATATTAAGCCCACTGCATGGGCGATACTGGTCAATAAAGAATCTTAATATATTGCATTTGTCTTTATCCAAACCCTATATTGAAAAATATAAAAATAAAATTAACATTTCACTGGACAAGCACCTAAAGAGAGTTCCTGATCAGCCGGGCTGTGGCTCGTACGTTGGTTTGCGTGCAGCCAGCAGCAACAGCCTGGTTGATCAGGCTTTGATCCACCAGGAGGCCTGGTCACAGACCGGGCCGCGGGGGCGTTGACCCCCGGAACTCTCTCCAGGTAAACTCCAGGTAAACATCATTCACGACATGTTAATATAGTAAGGGCCTATTGGCCTAGTATGGGCCAGTAGGCCCACACACAATTACTTTACTGGGAGCGCTTGAGGTTCCTAAACCTGTATTCCCTGGAACGCAGGCGGGAGAGATACATGATTATATACACCTGGAAAATCCTAGAGGGACTAGTACCGAACTTGCACACGAAAATCACTCACAACGAAAGCAAAAGACTTGGCAGACGATGCAACATCCCCCCAATGAAAAGCAGGGGTGTCACTAGCACGTTAAGAGACCATACAATAAGTGTCAGGGGCCCGAGACTGTTCAACTGCCTCCCAGCATACATAAGGGGGATTACCAACAGACCCCTGGCTGTCTTCAAGCTGGCACTGGACAAGCACCTAAAAGTCGGTACCTGACCAGCCGGGCTGTGGCTCGTACGTTGGATTTCGTGCAGCCAGCAGTAACAGCCTGGTTGATCAGGCCCTGATCCACCATGAGACCTGGTCACAGACCGGGCCGCGGGGGCGTTGACCCCCGGAACTCTCTCCTTCTCAACTCCAGGTGAACCAATCATTTCCACCAATGCATTTGTCTCAGGGGAACGGAGGTTTAATGCTTTCAGTCTATCTCCATAACAAGCAGCTTTCTATATAGTAGCAAGTTATTGATGTCAGCCATGGTCTGTATACCTTGTACATGTACTTGTAGAAATATAGATATTATTATTATTAGGCTGTTCCTCTAGTTTTCTGGCTCTAGGTAGATCCCGCGCCCCTTCCCAACAGATCTCTCCCCTCTCTCTCTTTCCTCAGACTGTCAGCTTTGAGGGAACCACTAATCGTCCATTCTTTGTCTCCCTTCCATCGCCTCCGTCTGGCAGAACAAAAACTCCTGCGAACGTCGATTTCCCGGCCATGTAAAGTGCTGGGCTGGCGGCTTTTGGCGTACTCCCATGGGCATCCGGAGGTAAATGAGAAAGGTGTCTTTTGTTGTCTCGTTTAGTCTAGACTCTGCCACAAAGGAGGCCGAGCTGAAGTAATTATGAATTTACAAGAGGGAAAAATAGTCCACAACTGCACTGGAGATTGGCGTTGATTACCCAAGCGAGAAGGCGGTGTTTGGCGTCATTAAATGGTTGGAAATTAGGAAGCCATCTCGAGGGAGCCTTGTTTATACTCATTGCCTCACCAACACTGGTGGCTGCTGCTGTTATAGTGTTGGTGGCTGTTGCTGTTACAGTCAGTGTTGGTGGCTGCTACTGTCAGTCAGTGTTGGTGGCTGCTACTGTCAGTCAATGTTGGTGGCTGCTACTGTCAGTCAGTGTTGGTGGCTGCTACTGTCAGTCAGTGCTGGAAGCTGCTACTGCCAGTCAGTGCTGGAAGCTGCTACTGTCAGTCAGTGCTGGAAGCTGCTACTGTCAGTCAGTGCTGGAAGCTGCTACTGCCAGTCAGTGCTGGAAGCTGCTACTGTCAGTCAGTGCTGAAGCTGCTACTGTCAGTCAGTGCTGGAAGCTGCTACTGTCAGTCAGTGCTGGAAGCTGCTACTGCCAGTCAGTGCTGGAAGCTGCTACTGCCAGTCAGTGCTGGAAGCTGCTACTGGCAGTCAGTGCTGGAAGCTGCTACTGTCAGTCAGTGCTGGAAATGAGACAGAGTCCCTCGATGACGCACTGCCTTTCTAACTCCGGGGTTAAAAATACGAACAAAATCTTATCTCACACTTCTCATACCAAAAGATCCAGAAAATTATAATTTCCTTTAAAAACACTATTAAATTTAACATTTTATTTTTCATATGCAAAAAAAAAAAAAATACGTTTTTACATAACTGTGTGTGTGTGTATGTGATGTCTTTTTACGTGACTGTATGTGTGTGTGTCTTCACGCCATTACTATTTTGATATTGCCTATGCCTCTGCTTTGTCTCCAAGCATCAATCTCGGCCTTGAGTTGAGGTAGACGACTGTAGGAGCCACGGTCCAGGGGGACCCTGGTGAAGGGGTCTGAGGGAGACACCAGCAGCAGGTAGATCAGTGTCGACTCGTCCACCACCATGTTGGAAGGGCGAAGTAACACTGGCGCCTCCATCACCGCCTGCGTCACACTGTCCACGAACTTTTCTGGGCAATCAGACAGTGTGTTATCGGGCACTGTACTGAAAGTCAGGAAAAGGTGTCCAATTGTACTAGCTTCCCTTATGAAGACTGACAGATGGTGGCCATGATCGCGTCGCAAACATGACATCACTGACTGCGGGTTCTCGTATAGATCTAAATTCTCCAAGATAAAGACTATCCTAACAATAATATCGGTTAATTCCTTGTATTTCCTAAGATGGGGGGCAGAACAGAGAGACAGTATACATGTTATGGTTTTGGCGATGGTCGCAGCAGCGGTCTGAGCTAGACCAGGCCTCTGGAAAGCTTGTAACGTAGGCGAGGTAGCCACCAGTAGAAGAAGCAGGTACGACACAGACCCGAGAGTCGCCAGAGCGTGAGACATCCTGCATATATCTGCCTCGTACCATACTTGAACCAATTCTACTATCCGGCCTAATATCTCCACCAGGTGAGCCAAACACTTTGCTTCAGGTCCAACTTGCAAATCCCTTAACTGCAGGAAAAAAAGAAGAGTAGTGGTAAGTAA